GGATTAGGCAAGTCACATATTACAAATGTGTGTCTTGATTTATTGTTTAGTGGAACCTTCATCGAATCAGCATGCACGACTTGTTTTTTCACTTTCTTAATGGATTGCTGCAGAAGGGCCATATCTTTAGTCAAAATGGGCTTGTAATATTCACGATTTGCAAACATACACTATCCCCTTGTTACAATGACATCATTGCACTTAGTAATAACATCATTGTCAGCCTTGTATTTAACAAAGCAATCCAGCATATTAGTGTAGGCTTCTCCGCACCCACCAGCTTTCACGTACACGCCAACCCAATTTGCAAAATCATTGGCTACCTGACTGATCTCTGAAGGAACATCTTGTGCTTTGGGTTGCTTTGTTAAATACAAGGCTGCCATTGATGTTATTACTTTTTTTTGGAAATATTCCAATCGGTTCATTGCTTCGCAACTAATCCGATTTGGGGCGGGTCCAGGATTAAGGCTTTAAACCCCTCCCAAAGGTGGTACTGGGGAGATTCGAACACATGCTCTCACCCCCACCTGCTTAGCTCCCATGCACCAATTGAGCTACCACCATTTAATACAATGATGTTATTACTAAGTGCAATGATGTCATTTTAACAAGGGGCTAGTGTATGTTTGCAAATCGTGAATATTACAAGCCCATTTTGACTAAAGATATGGCCCTTCTGCAGCAATCCATTAAGAAACTGAAGAAACAAGTCGTGCATGCTGATTCGGTGAAGGTTCCACTAAATAATAAATCAAGACACATATTTGTAATATATGTTTTGCCCAATCTCAAGGATTCTGGCAAGAATTGAAACTAAATATGTGGCAAGGATTCTTGCACAAATTTAGTTTTAGTACTTGCCAAAATCCTTGGGATTGGGCAAGACACATATTACAAATGTGTGGCTTGATTTATTGTTTAGTGTGTTTGACGAAAATGATGATTAATAAGAGAGGGTTTGTCTCACTTTTTTTGAGCAATGAAAAAAAATGAGATGTTTTCTCTCTTATGTACCATCATTTTCGACAAACACAAACCATGAATCAAGACGTGGACCCATATTTCAATTTTAGTTGATTTTGATGTTTTTTCTTTACTATAAATGTAATGATGAATGAATTAAATAAATATCTATCATTTGGGTACACTACATTTGTTATCTTTTTATATTTTATTTAAGTTTTAGATGAAATCCAATACATCATAGTTATCAATATCATACGATACACGATACGATTCATACGATACGATGCGATTAACCAGCGCAACAATACAAAAATTTAATCAAAATTTACAATTTTTAATATAAGAAAATAAAAATAAAAATAAAAATATGATTTATGATTCAAATTTAAAAAATCTAAAACATTGTTTTTAATAAAAAATAAAAAATTTATTTGTGATTTAAACTCAAAAATTAATTTGAAAAATCTGTATTAATAAAGAAAATATTTAAATAAATATTTTATTATATATTTTTAAATTGTTTTTTATTATGTTTCTGTAACTTATGATTTGATACGATGAACGATACACAATACAAAAAATCAACTAAACGATGTACAATATACATATTGCGATCAACAGCCTTGTAATACACTATTGGAATAAAAGAAAAGAAAAAGAGTAAACATCTTTTTTGGTCCCTAACAAAAAATTACGGTCCCCACTTTAGTCCCTTACAAAAATGAATTAGTTAGTTAGTCCCTAACAAATTCAAAGTGGACCAATTTTAGTCCTTTTGAGGGACTAATATGGGTCTTTTTTGAATTTGTGAAGGACCACGATTTCAACTAAATGGGTTCACTTTGAATTTGTTAGGGACTAACTGACTAATTTATTTTTGTAAGGGACTAAAGTGGGAACCGTATTTTTTGTTAGGGACCAAAATGAGTATTTACTCACAGAAAAATAAATGTTATAAAATATTAATTTATGGATAACTTAGAATTTTGAATATAAATTTTGTATCTGTTGATATTGGTGATGCAATTATTGTCATTTATGATTTCGGAACTTCCACATAATAAAGCATTAACTTTATTATATTATATATGGACCTGAAAATGATTGGATAATATGAATAAGAATTTTACCTTATTTCCTTTTCTTTTCTTTTCTCATATTTTATCTTTTAATATGATTTTTCTTAGAAATATTTCCATAGGTTCATATCCAAAAAATGGTACCGGAGATGATTGAATATATACTCTCACCTTTTAGTTCTTTGGTGTCAACTGAGCTATCATCTTTTTGTTCTTCTAAAATGATTTTCTTTCATATATCTCTTTGTTTTTTTAACAACAACTTATATGGTTTTGTTACGGGATAAGAGATTAATTTATATCGTTACAAGATAAAAAATAACCATCAAAATAATAAATCATTACAAATTACATTTTATATTATATTTTTTGATAATGCAAGAATATTAAGTCCTATGCCAAGATCGCTCCTCTTATTAAAAATACAAAGGTTTTTTAGTTGTCCAGTGCAATAATTTTTTACTTCAAATCCAAATTTTAATATATATTGTAAAATCTCGTGTGTCTCACTCATTATTTTGTAGCGATTTTTTGAAATAATATTATAAACACTAGACAATTCATAATACAACTCATGGCTCAAAGTCACCGCTCCACGATACATAATTAATTCATGACTTTCAGTCATGTTTAAAACATGTATAATTATTGGCCATGATAATTAAACAACTTTACTGATATAAAAAAATAAAGTTGTACTAAATTGTATATCAAGCTATAATTTCTTAAAACTATTTTTTAAAGAATAAAAATAAATTTGCACGTAAGTCATGCTATAAACCAAAAGAAAATATTATATTATATTATATTATTTTATTATTAGATAAGGGGAATGAGAAATAAGAAAGCATGCTCGAACTTACAAACTATTTGGTCGTTTGCTACAAAGAAAAAAATTGGATTCGTGAGAAATTGACATTGTTAATTTTATTTATCCATGTTTATTATAGGATTGAAAATTTTCTTGAAAAAATCAAATTCCCAAAGAAAATTTTTTTAAAGCACAATTTTATCCAAGAATATCATGTATAGAAAACCTTAACACGAAAAAAGTGACAAAATTAACCCTCGGCTGACGACGACGAATCTCCACGCAAACCTTATCCTCCACTCCATAATTGCCGCAGAGCTCCCAATCACTTCGTAAGCTATGGAAGTTATGGAATGAACGCCTGACGAGGTTTCTGTTGAGGAAAGTTTGGAAGATGAAACCATGCATGGAGCGAAATGATGAGGAGGGAAACGATGTAGCGGCGTGTTCGTTCCTCGGAGGTGAACACTTTTCTGAATTTTGTTTTTGGCTGACCCTCTAATTTTGTTTTCAGCGTTGGCTGAAAATTTGTTGACGGCGAAAGGAGAAATTTTGTTTTTGTCTGACCCTCTAATTTTGTTTTACGCTGAATGTTAGAATAATTTTGTAAAATTATCTCATATTTCTAATAATATTTAATAATAAATTAAACATAAAATTAGTAAATCTGAGTTAATTTTCTGATAATATTTTAACTTATCAAATAATTTTTTTATAATATTTCTTAAAAATTTACCTTTTCACTATAGTCCTCTGAATCATAATGTTCGGGATAAAAAAAATTCACCCTGCCAAACCACCTTTCAAATTCTCAGGTAAAAGTAGATTCATTTATTTTTTTACTTATGCAATGAAATTATATTGTATTATGATTAATTTGATGTAATTAAAATTAAAATTTTACAATATTTTATATTATAAAATCTCGTGTATCTCACATGTTATTTTTGTTGACTTTTTAAAATAAAATTATAGACATTAGACATGATTTATATATGGATTTATTTTTTAATATTAATTTTATAAAACTATTAGCTTGACACTTGACTTAGTGCAGATTTATATAGTTTTTGTATTATATCAGCAAACTCATAAATATAAACAACTTCATTTAAAATCATGACCGAATACGCACAATTATTCTCATAAACAAAGATATTCGTGCATAGATGGAGGCTCAAGATCAGTATCATGAAATCCTTATATTCTCATAAACAAAAGCTCTTTAATGAAATTTTAACATTAACTAATTGCGACCAAGAAATTATCAATTTCACTTGTTGGGTGAGAAATGTCCAACTTACCAATTTATCTGGTAAACTACTGAGAGCCCATGCTAAAATAATAGTATTATGAGCGAAGCAATGAACCTATTTGAAGCGACTCTTTTTGTACCCGAGAAGCCCACGTATGATGAACAAGGCATTATGATATAACTCATGGTTCAAAGTCACAACTCCTTTAATAAAAAAACTCAATGTCTTATTATCATGATTCATACACAATAGTGGCACTAAAATGCTCTCAAATTACATGATCATATTAAATAATATAGAAAAAAATTTAATCTCATCTATCTTATATCACAATAGTGATAACTTCTAAGCGGGGCTTCACTACAACTTGGGTATTTAAGCTAAATGTAATTTTAAATATTTTTTAACAACTAACTTTATCATAGATATTTCAAAATAAATTAAATATAAGATGTTTCGAAGTACATTAAATATAATAATTTGACTACGAACCCTGGAGGAAAAGGTGAGTACTGAAGTAATCACTTCAAAAGGACATGAGAAATAGTTGCCGATCACCGAAGGACTAATTCTATATAGTCATCACCTTAGTCTTTTATATGATAAGTGGTTACTCTCCCGTTCTCTCTTTCTCTCTTTTAATGTGTATATATCCACGATGAATTGTGCAAAATTTATTAAATGAACTTTTAAAGGACAAACAAAAAATTTAATTAATAAAGGGTAAAATTGAAGAGGCATCTTTTGCAAGCCTCAATAGAAGCTAATATTTCTTCTTTTTTGTTTCTTTTTTTCTTTTTTGCTTTCCTTTCCCTGGTTTCCTACAAAAATCGTGTATACTCATGGTGGTGCAGAAGAGTGCATTTGTTTCTACAAAGATGCACTCTATGGTAGTTGACCTAGTAAGTCATCACAATTAGTTTCCTCACAAAGGCACTCGTAAGGGTTTGCATAGAAATAATCTTCTTCCTTTGGCTTGTCTAATATAACCCTACGCCGAGTTGGCTTTACAATTCTCTTTTCATGAACCTCTCTCACTGCATCTGCAAACTCTTTCCAATGAAGGCTTCCATTCTGATGCATGTCAACCAATTCTACTACCTTTTTTCTATCCAGTAAGATGGTTTTCTTAAAACCTGAATACCTGCACATCAACCTTAGTTAGTTATAAACCTTCCATGCCAAAATCATATTGCAACCTCTAACTCTTAAGGGTGAATGCATACCTACGATAACCTTCCACGAGCTTTGCCATGTTCCCATCATAGGTAGGAATAAAGGTGTTACTGGCTACTGATACCATAAAATCCAAGGCTGCCATCTGCGACGAGTGATTCTGGAAATGCTGTAGATCATCACGGGCCAGCAAGGTTTCCTTCTTCACCTAAAATTGAAAACGAGAAAACTCAAAGTCAGATGCTGCCAAGTAGAACAATTTTTTGTACAATCTGCCATGTAACTATGCGATACAAAATATGCATGGACAATTTTGGATAATCATTAGTAGCAGTCACAATCATTTTAAGACAAAAAATTAGGGGATAAATTATAATGGGGATGAACTCACAATTAGTGGAAACGCAGCTCTGAGTTGTACAAGTCTACGTTCACCCCCATAAATCTCACCAGCTGCAATATAAATATGTGTCTTCCTACCAAAACCTAAGGCTCGCAGAACTAAGGCTGCCTCCTCCGGTGTCAAAGGACATAGACCCTGTGATCTCCTCTCTTCAGAAATTATCTCCTTTTCTCTCCACCAAGGGATAATGCATGCATCATTAGAAGAGTTTGAATATTTAAGAAGCAGCGGGCATGAGGCCTAGCAACACATCCTCCTCTTCCTCTTCAACCCAAAAAAACCATCATTCTTTGCAAAAAATCATGTCCTCCTCTAAGGCCAAAGCACAAGATGTTCCTTCAGAGGTGAGTCATTTTGCACATTGGGTTGACGTGTATGTGAAAACAGGTGGATGCAGAGAAGCCTACACTAATATGGTGGATTGCTTTGTTAAGGCTGATGATGATGTTGTTAACAAGTGCACTGATGTGATTGTAACTTGGGGCCAGTGCATGTTTGCAAATCCTGAATATTTTGACTAATGATATGATCCTTCTACAACAATCCTTTGAGAAATTGAAGAAACAAGCTATGCATGGTGAAGGTCCAACTAAACAATAAATCAAGACACAACTTGTTTCTTTAGTTTCTCAATGGATTGTTGCAGAAAGGTCGTATCGTTAGTCAAAATGGGCTTGTAATATTCAGGATTTGCAAACATACACTGGCCTATGTTACAATCACATCACTGCACTTGTTAACAACATCATCACCAGCCTTGACAAAGCAACCCATCATATTAGCATAGCTTCTCCGCATCCACCTGCTTTCACGTACACATCAACCCAATGTGCAAAATGACTCACCTCTGAAGAACATCTTGTGCTTTGGCCTTAGGGGAGGACATGATTTTTGGTTGGGTTGAAGAGAAGAGGAGGATGTGTAGCTAGGTCTCATGCCCACCGCTTCTTAAATACTGAAACTCTTCTAATGATGCGCGCATGATGCCTTTTGTATGAACTTAGGAAAAAGGCCCAAAAGAGAAAAGGATTTAAAAGAAAATTATTGAGATTACTTAAATGGATAAATAAATATAATACTATATTAATGAGATTAATATTTCTCCTGCAACAACAGTCAACAAATAAAGTATTCTCCTGCAACCCAAAATGACGTTGTTTTATGGTTTGGAAAAAAAAAAGTAAAGTATTTTAATATAATCCATTATATAAGATGAAAGTAAAATTTATAAAATACCTTGTATTTTGTTTTCAAACCCCAAAACGACATCATTTTGAGTTTGCTTGAGATAACTTTATCTCTTATCATAGGAGAAAGATTTTTTCCTTTATCAATATGTATTAATTTTCATTCAATTATATAGTTATAAATGAAAAGAAAAAATTTTAAAAAATTTTAATATTTTAAAAATAAAAAATGGGAAAAAAGTGAGAGAAGGGAAATAATTTTTAGTCATGCAAGTAGGGTAATTATTTTAAGGTTAAATTGTAAATATAGACAAATCATAATGACAAAATGGCTTGATCAAAATAATAAAAGGCGGCAATCCCTTTTATTGGGTAGTATAGATTAAGTGTTATTTGTATATTATTTTTATTTTAAGTAAAAATTGTAAATTATGCTTTTCCAGAGGGGAAAGGAGATTAAAATCATTTAAAGCTTTTAATTCGATATAACAAATTCAGTATAATATTTTGTAGTTGAGTGTATTTAGTATAATATCTTGTGATCAAATCAATCATATGAAACCTATACCAAAATGTTATCAAAAAAAAAAAAAAAAAAAAAACCTATACCAAAATAAAGTTGAGGTAAATGATATATGATTTATTAACTCATTTATTGTGGCACTTTTATTTAGTATAATATTTTGTAGTTTGAGTGTATTTAGTATAATATCATGTGATCAAATTTATGATATGAAACCTATACTGAAATAAAGTTGAGGTAAATGGTATATGATTTATTAGCTCATTTATTGTGGCACATTTATTTAGTGCTCTATGAGTGCTATCCACAAATGCTTTTGGCAAATTTTTGTTATTTAAATAACAAATTCATTATAATGTTAAATCAGATGAATATATTATTTGAATTAGTTATTTTTTTACAGCATTTACACCGAATGTTAAATATCTTATGGAAAAAATATTTTCAGACTTCTTTTTTAAATATTAAAAGGTATCTTTATAGTTTACAATAAAAAAGATGTCTTTATAATTTTTTAACATTGGGATTAACCTCTCCTTAGACGTTAGCTAGGCCTTGATCACAAGATGTTTTTTAGGAATTTCAAATCCCATACTTCAGAGGTAAATACTTACCTATACGAAGCTCAACTGATCAACCTAAACCATATTTGTACCTCTGGTGGTTATGTAATGAAAATATTTTTAAGCTAATTTGCTTATTGTTAAATTATATTTATAATATTTATTAATTTTTTTTGCTAATTGCACTCTCACTTATTTTTAAAGCATTCACACAAATTATTTATTAATACAATTAACTTATTATTAATGCATTCATATCTATTTTGATTGCATTTGCACTTATTCGATTCGAATCTATGACCTTATTGTTAATACATTGAAACTTATTAAAGCATTCACACCAATAAATTCATTCACACCCAAAAAGTGCATGTGAGTAATTATTTTTTAAGTTTTTCAAAGCAATTGATGTTACCCTTTTGTAGAGAAAAATACTAATGTAAGATCTTTTTCTATTTAAATTTTTATGGAATATTGGAAACATTCTAATAGCGATTTTTTTACGATTTATATCTTGAAGTAACATGAGTTATGAATCTTGTGTTAAACTTTTCTAAATTTTTATCTGATTTTATAACGGGTAGATATTGTCTATTTCTCTGCGGCTTGTTGGATAAATTTTGGCATCTAAAACTACACATATATAGCACTCACAATTATTCCCGTTTAATTTTAAAATTTATTTTTATGATAAAATATGTGATCCGTAATGATATTATTGATTATATATTTTTAAATAATAATTACAATTAATTTGTAACTTCATTTTTTTAAATAATTATCAACAGAAATTAATAACATAACTAACAATTTACAAAAGTACTTTACTAAATTGGTACAAAACTTATCCACGAGCTAAATTTTTTTTTTTTATCAAAATATCCATTTAAAAAATATATAAATCTAGAATATAAAAATCCTATGAAAATGGATGACTTCAAATATAATTTTAACATGATCATGTCATGTTATGAATCTTATTAATTCAATAAAGATTAATGGTAACAATTTTATTGACAATTTATAAAATGAAAACAAATATTAAAATTAATTACTTACCATTGAATATTAATTAATTATAATTATTATTAAGCAAAAAATTAAGAGGACATATAAAATCTTATTAAATTAATTTACTAAAAAAATTGAACTGGTAAATTTTTTACCTATATATTTTAAAAATTTTATTGTTTACCAATTTTTTTTATCATTATCAATACAATTCTTTTATTATTAATGCATTGAAATATATTATTAAGCTATTTAAATTGTATTTTTTTTTTGAAGCATTTGTACTTATTGTTAGCACATTGAAACTTATTAAAGCGTTAACACCAATAAATACGTTCAAAAATGCATGTGAAGAATTTTACCCAGGATGTGCTGTAGTTAGCACCATTTATTTGTGTCTTTTTTTTTTGCTGTTTTCCTTGTAAAGTTTCCAGAAAAAAAAAACTTAAAGACTATGTCTTAATTTTTACAATGTAGTTGATGTTATGCTTTTGTAGAGAAAAATGTTAATGCAAGATAAATAATTTTTTTCTTTTTTATGAAATAAAGGGAGGGGGATGAGGGAGAAAGGGAAGAGAGAAGACGAAGAGAAGTATGATAGAACTTTGATTCTCATTCAGCTATATGTCCAATTTCAAACTATGTCAATATATAAAGTTACAACCATGAATAAGAGATAATTGCACCATTAGTTCCAATAGTAACATAATGATAACATGATTTAAAGTCATCTATAATTGCATAACGATAACACGATTTAAGTTATCCATGTTTTAGAACACTCCCCTTTGGATGGCTATTTATTATTATGGATATGCCTCGTTAAAACCTTGCTAAGAAAAATTCAATGGGATAAAAAACTTAAGCGAAGGGAAAAAAATACAATATTCATAGCTACCATACCACCTTTATATGTTAATATAGACTGTCTCGTTAAAAACCTGCTGAGGGCTTGGAGATACAATGACGGTGAAAGGGAAAAAGGTTAACTTTTTTACCCTAACTTGACACCAGCATCGAAAAATAATATAAGTCCTTCGCCTATTCCTCGCAAAATGCAACGGATCGTTTTCCCTCGCAAATCACAAATTAATAACCATTAATGATCATTAATTCTCAAGATAATTCAAAATTGCGAGGGATTTTACATTTCCCTCACAAACTTTTGGCTACTTATTTGAATTTCAAAATTTATCAATTCCGCCAAGTTTTGAAATCATAATATCCGTTGCAAGCTCCGTAGCTGTTTGCGACGGATATTACAATTCCCTTGCAACACTAACTTATTTAATATTTAAATTTTGGAATTTTTTTAACTCAAAATTTCGTGTATATTGCGACGAATAATTATTTAGTGAACTCGTGAAGATGTTAACAATTGAAGAATATGGAGAGACAAACACAATCCCAATAGTAAGATTAAATAAATAACTCAACAACAAGTTGTACCAAAAACTAAAGAGGTATACATATAAGCAAGTTTCTGTCCAAAATGTATTCTAACTACCAGAAGTAACAACTCCAAAATTGCAACAATCAGATTAATTAAATACAAGATAGGAGGTCATTTACTAATTTTGAGGACAATCCAATGGTTGAGTAAAGAGATATTCCCTTTTGTACCTCACTGCCCAAAATAGAGCAGGGAATACTGACATCTTCTGTTTGCAGTTGCACGAATCCCTCTTGAGAGCTCCAATCGACAAACAAACCGTTAAATATGAAGTATAATGAGTGTAACCCTTGCTTAAAATTTTTCAGCACACGATCCAACGGTGAACTTAAGAAAAGTCTCAAGACCGTTGCCCACAACAGAATCCTGCACACAAACCACCTCGATTTGGAATTTCTGGTCAAGCTACAAACCTCCAACCAAAAAGCCCCCATTGGATATGAAGAATGATGAGTTAGGAATATGCCAAAAAAAAATATCAGCTCGACCAAACAGTAGATGAAGGAGAAAATGAAGAATGATCAAAGACTGCTTCTTCCTCTCTTAAATTAGCCTATTTTTCTGAAATGATTCTCTCTCTCTCTCTCTCTCTCTCTTTTCTCTTGTCGTGACTGATTTTCATACTCTCTTGTCATCAAAATGCTACTCACATATTCAAAGTTATATATATATATATATATATATATATATATATATATAGGGAAAAATATTTCTTCAGTCACTGGAGATAAAGTTATGTACAGTGAGTTCAAAAGACCACAATTTTGGAGTTATAAGATTAAAAAAATTATAATGATAAAGACTAATATAACCATGCAATATCTTAGAATTACAAGAACACCTTGACTTTTGCCCCAAAAACGACGTCATTTTGGACTCACAAGAGATAACTTATCTCCTTTGACTGAAGAAATCTTATACCCATATATATATGTGTGTGTGTGTGTGTGTGTGTGTGTGTGTGCGCGAGTGTCACTTTTTATTCATTTGTACAGTGATGACGATGAGGGTGGATGGAGCGTGTCTATTTCAGACATTTCCCTCTGCTTTGCACTCACACTAGTACAATTGCATGTGCTAAATTATGTTCTTTTACATACCTCCACACAATGTAAACAATTGAAGAATATGGAGAGACGAACACAATCC